GGGGGGGTGCTTCCCACGATCCTTCGGATCTGGGTTTGATGAGGGTTCTTCACCACGATCCTTCGGATCATGGATAACATCAAACCCTCAGCGTGACGGTCGTGGGGTTATGGTCCAATATCATGGGGTTATAGTCCCGTAAATTTGGGATTCTACAATATGCATAATCCACAGAAATTTAGAAATTTTTTTATCAGACATAAAATGTTCTGCTTAGTATAACAATTTGTAATTTGGTCGAAACGTCAAAATCTAATCCACATAAATTAAAAAAGAAATTAGTACGCATAAGATATTCCATATGGGACAATAATTCATGATTTGATTGAAAACAGTCAAAATCATGAGTTATATAATCTATAATTATTCTGAGAATTTTGAGTTACACATAAAATTCTATGGCAGGCAGGGATTTGTGATTTCGTTAAAAATGATCAAACTCATGGGTTATACTTTATAGAAATTTAGGGATTATGGATTATGCATAAATATTGTATGCAGGAGAACAATTCGTGATTTTGTCAAAAACTGCCAAAATCATGAAATTACAGTCCACACGAATTCAAGAATTTTGGTGTTTACATAATGTTTTTTTATACTGGAGAACAATTAATGATTTGTTCGAAAATGACCAAATTGATTAGAAAATCATCCACGAAAATTTGGGAATTTGAGAGTACAAATAAAATATTTTATTCTGGACAACCATTTTTTATTTAGTTGAAAGTAATCTACTAAATTTGAAAATTTTTGTGTATAATATTCTATGTGGAACTGCAATTTGTGATTTGGCCGAAAACAACAAAAATAATGGATTATAGTCCACATAAATATGAGACTTTTGAAGTATGCATAAAATATTCTTTAGCGGACAATGATGCATGATTTAGTCGAAAATTGTCCAAAAGAGTTTGAGAATTATAGATTACCTATAAAATATTATACAGGGATGACAATTTGTGATATGGTCGAAAATGACCAAAATCATTATATATTCTCCACAAGATTCAAATTTTTTTGGAGTATTCATTAAATACTTATGTTGGTCCACAATATGTGATTTGGTTAAAATGATAAAAGATGTGGGTTATAATCCACATAAATTTGGGATTATTGAAATATGCATAAAATATTTTTGGCAGGATGACAATTTGAGATTTTGTCGAAATTAGAAAAAATCATGGGTTAATCAATAAAATTTCAAAAGTTTTATTCATAAGACAATTTATGCGGGATCAAAATTTGTAGTTTGGTCGAAAATGATAAAAGAACATGGATTATAATTGATAAATTTGAGAATTTTAAAATATGCTTTAAATTATTTTTTGCTAGACGACAATTCTTGATTTGGTCGAAGGCAACTAAATCACGGATTAAAGCCCATAACAATTCAAAATTTTTGTAGTGCACATAAAATACTCTATGTAGAATGACAATTTGTAAATTGGTTGAAAATGTCCATAATTATGGATTAGTCCACAAAAGCTCAAAAAATTTTAAAGTATTCATAAAATATTTTATGCACGATGGTAATATGTAATTTGGTTGAAAATGACATTTGATTGACAAACCGAAGACAAGCCAATTGACAAAAAATATGGGTTATAGTTCATAGAAATTTGTAAATTTTAAAACATGCATAAAATATTCTTTTCTCAGCGACAATTTCTATTTTGATCGAAAATAGTTGAAATCATGGAGTATAATCCAAAAACATGAATTATAGTCCATTAAAATTCAAGAATTTTGGAGTATGCATAATGTTATATACATAGTGAAAATTTGTGATTGATCAGAAAAAAACAAAAAAACGTGGGTTATAGTCCAAAAACATATACATAAAATGTTCTATATGGGACTATAATTTGCAATTTGGTCTAAAATGATAAAAATCATGGGTTCTAGTCCATATAAAATTGCGTATTTTGAAATATGTTAAAATATATTTGTTGGACAAAAATTCATAATTTAGTCGCAAATAGGGAAAATCATGGGTTACAATCCACTAAAATTTGAGAATTCAAGAGTACGCATAAATATTATATGCAAGTCAATATTTTTTATTTCGTAAAAATGGCCAAAATCATGGGTAATATTCCATCATAATTATATATATTCATAGAAATTTTATGAGGGATAACCACTTTGTGATTTTGTCTAAATCAACAAAAAAAAAACATGGATTATAGTCTACATAAATTCTAGAATCTTTAAAATATGCATAAAATATTCTTCATTGAATGACAATTTATGATTGGGTTAAAAATTTTCCAATATTATGGATTATAGTCCATAGAAATTGAAAACTTTGAAGTACCCATAAAATATTTTTTATTGGAAGAAAAGTTGTGATTTGGTAAAAAATGGTCAAAAATCATGGTTATATTTAATAAAAATCTAGAAATTGATATTATTCATAAAATATTTATTTGAGACAACAATTCATGATTTGGTCAAAACGGCAAAGGACATGGGCTATAGCCCAAATAAGTTTTCAAATTATTAAATATTAACAAAATATTCTTTGCTTGACAACAATTCATGACATGGTCAAAATTAATGAAAATCATGGGTTATATAGTACACTAAAAGTTGACAAACTTTAGATTATGCATAAAATATTGTATGCGAGATAACAATTTGTAGTTAGGTCAAAATGACCAAAGTTATGGGTTGTAGTCTACAAATATTGCTAATTTTGAAGTAATCATAAAATATTCTATGTGGGATGGGAATTAGTTATTTGGTCCCAAACAATAAAGGTCTTGAGTTAGTCCACATAAATTCGTGAATTTTAAAATATGCATAAATATTAATAATATTTGGTGGATGACAATTCATGATATAACTAAAAATAGCCAAAATTTTAAGTTATATAGTCTATAGAAATTAAACTACACAGTTATTGATAAGGGTTACAAGCTCTTTGCTTGCATGCGCACATGAGTGCTAAACTAAAAAAAAACCTAAGTTCTTCTTGTATCATAGTTATTATCCAATGTAAAACCTTCCAGATTGATAATTGACATAATCCATAAGATTCAACCTCAAGTATATCTAAATATTCTCCTTTGACTACAGTATTTCCCATTTTTAATGATTTCAACTAGTATCCATCACTCTTAGAAAATATTTCTCATAAACTCAAGGGACTTTGAGGACACTAATTTGAGATAATGGCTTTTCCCCTTGATTGTTGTTTTTTTTTTGGTCAATGAAAAATTTTATTCACTAACCAAGTATGAAAGTTTTTTGTACATCAGATACTCAGTGTTCAACTGAGATTACAAAAAGAAAAAACTAAATGAATATCTTATAAAACACAGATATTCAAATGACAGAAACCCTCAAGACAACATCAGTACTTGCAATTGAAGGGGTGTTGAGAATGAAAGTGAGGACATCAAACTTGATATCTCTAACCAAATCATCAGCACTTCTAGACCTCTGCTGAAATAGCCTCAAATTCCGCTCTCTCCAAATGAAATATATAGAGGTAGTCAAAGCCATTTTCTTGAGCTGCTGCTTTAATCCCCTACCCTTCAACCTGTAAGCATACCAATTGACAATTAGAGACCAATTGCAATATCTCCATTTAAAACCCAGCCAGCTCATGATACAGTTCCAGACATTAGCCGAAAACACACATTCAAAAACAGGTGGTTTCTTGTATCACTGGCTGCACTTGAGCAGAGAATACATGTGTTTGCATTGATGACTCCTCTCCTATGAAGTCTGTCCTGAGTGAGAAGCCTGTCATGAAATGCAACCCAACTTACAAATGAGAATTTAGGGATGTTTAGACCCCCCAGACTGTCTTGAACCATATCACATCATTTGTAGTAGGATGAATAGCATAATATAGTGCAGATAGCTTTATTTTATCACCCTTCCAACAAGAACTGATCAGGCATTTCAGATTGTCCACTCCACCATACAAAACCAAAGCTTTATCCCTCACCTTTAACAATTGTTTCCACAACCAGGAATCACCTGCTCTTACTTTGACTGCCAGATATCCTCATGC